CAGTTAAAGGTCAACGTTTTCACTTATCACATTAAGAAAACCTACAATTGTTGCTACCATCCCCCTCAGGATGAACTTTCAGAGCTTTGGTGTAGCATAATTTTTTTCCTCTGCTGCCATTATCAGGTAAAAGTCATAGCCTGTACGAGTATAACAACCATGGACAAAGCCACTGTGAGGTAACTCATTTGTTTGTGTACTACCGTTTTGAAACTTTAATCTTTAGAAACCAGATGTGAAGAGTGAGGGTTGGAGAATATAAGCAAACGTTAACGAAGGAGAATAGAAATGAATGTTTCAAACCAAAAACGCAGTAGTAGGAAATATTTACTGACGTAAATAGATCAAGTGGGAAGTAACGCATTTCTCATGAACTTCTACACAATCTGACTTCTTCTTGCAATTAGAGGAGTCGTCCCCTGCTGGCTGTTAGAAAAAATGCAGGTTTAAGGTGACTGCACTGGCTGTACTATTCAAACCCTGGGGCTGCATCCCTCCCCAGAGACTGTGCAAATAGGTACTTGCAAACACATTCCCATAGCATCTGCTGCACTTTGTGCTCCATACCATTTTAATCATTAGTTGTCTAAAAGTAAAACATTGCTTTAGTACAGACTCCCAGAGCTGCTGGAATGCCTGTAGACTCAGAATAGTTAAAAAATTACCCATACATTTTCAATTTGCTTTTCCAACCGACTGATGATTTTCTGTTGGCCATCAACAAGTTGGGTGTGAAAGTATATCACCATTCTGGACAAAAAAAAACAAACAAACATACAGGATACCTTCAAATTTAAAGAGCATAAATGGTATTCAGATACAGTTACACTAAGTCACAACATTTAAATGCTTCAAGCAAGCAGAAATTTTGGTAACAATACAGACAGAATTACAGACGCAGGGCAATATGGTGTATATTAACGCCAAGAAAAGTTGGCGCTCTAGCAGTATTGAAGAAAAACATGACTGAAAAGCTCAGGCAAACAACTCACAGAAGAACTCCAGTGGCAAGGAACAGGAACAGTGGGTTCTCTACCAGAGAGTTGTAGACTGAGCTGAGCCAAAACAGGATCGGATGAGCGTCCTTCAGCTCCTGGTCCCACAGGTGCCCTGACTCTGTCATTGTGGTGAGATTCCTGAATGGACCGCACCCTGATGAAGGTTTAATCCTGTAAATTAAAAAAAGTTACTGTCCATACAATCGTAATTCTTCAAGCTCCATCCTCAGGAACATTTAATTTAAAGAGTAAAAAAAATCCCCGACTTTGCCTGTTGTTTTGCATTTGTTGAAATGATCAAAAATCCCATGAAATGTGCCGTACCAACAACGCTTTAGCCCATCTTGACATACTTAATTTCCAAATGTAGTCTGTCACTTACTCAGCACCCAGCCCATCTATTTCTAACGAGAACAAGTCTTAAGGAATTGTTTGACATTTTAGGAAACGTTTATTAACAATTAGGTTGGTTTTAAATGTAATGCTCATGATGTCTATGTGGCAATTAAAGGTTGGAAACAAAAAGCAGGTCATGCACTTGTCAAGTTTTACAAATTAGGCAAGTCATCCGTACGTCATACATCTTTAACCCATTGTGAATAGGTAAAGTGTCATTTTTGCACTTGGGTTTTTGTATTGATTATGCAAACAGTACCTAACATGGTAATTAGTGAACATTAGAGGGGTTGGGAGGTAGATTTCATTCATTGTGCTAAGATAAGCTAACCCAATCTTCAAGGCAGCTTTATTTACAAAATAATATAAATATACACACACTGATGACAACTACTACTCATTTTAAAAGACTAAGTAGTTTCAAAAAACTGGTGGTTTTGCCTCACATGAATAGATTCTGCATTTGTTAATGATTGCTTTCAGCTGCAGATTAGTGAAAATTAACAACACTAGAGCAGTGAATGGAAATTTGACTTTAAAAAACGCACAGCAGCCATGTTCATATCAAATAAAGGATTATCACATGCAGTTGTGTGTTTTTAATAGTTTTTGTCCACCTGTGGCAGAAAGGTATTTAATATATATATCAGGATTTTGGGGGGCTGATACCACATTTAGGGAGTAAGAAATATAGTTGACATTCATGCTTAAAGAAGAAAATGATAAGGCCATTGATTATTGACTTTTCAGTCAGAATAATATAGTCTGCTGGACAACCTATATGGTACTTTTTCTGTACTATGCTCTGTAAAAGAAAGTTTTTACATCAGTGTATATCAGACAATATATACACCAATACATCCATTTTAGGCTAACAATGGCCATCAATATGTAAGTCAGGTTCTGTCAATGTGTTAAAATCATTGTTGGTTTCATTTTCTTCATGAAATTTGTGTCATGAGGAAAATTCCTGAAAGGTATAACTGTTGAGTAAACACCATTGAACCTATTATGCATTATTCGTTTGTACTTGACAGACTGTCATTGTTTTCAGCATCTGTTTTTAAAAAGCTATGACTTTGAGGTTGTGGAATGCATTCATGTCATTCCATGCAGACGCTGCCTGTTAGCATTACTGTCATGACAGGGGGGCAGCGGCGCACTTACGTCCAAACTGTATAAGTGACAGACACAGCAGCACCAATAAATGAGGGGAAGCACAAAAGAAAGATGAACAGTGTTGTCATTTGAGTGGCCCTCCAGGGCTTTCTAGAGGCCTGGCAATTGGCCATCAGACTGGTCTGGAGGGGAAAAAAAAAACAGAGACAGAATGTTGAGTTTGTCATGCAATCCTGTCACAATGATTGACAGCTACACAACAACGCATGCTGCACCAACCTTTTTCATGTAAAACAACACAAACAGCTTTATGATTTGGACGGCAGGAAGCAGTGGCGCAAACAGCACTCCAAGCCTGTGGATAACACAAGACTATTTGAATCACTTTTCTTGTTGCATATGTGTTAGGTTTCACAAAATGTGGTGTTCATATTGAATAATTACCAAGTTAGAGTTTGTCCATATATGAGCTCCAGCACATTTCGAGCAATGTCAAACACCGGCTTCCTGTTTCTTTTCAGGTTTTTTTCTGAAAAGAGCCTGGAGATAGATGCCAGGTTGTGGCGTAACCATGAATGGTTTTACAGTAAACAACAAAACCAAGTTACTTGATTGGTAGGTCAACCAACTACTTGCCTCCATAGGAACTCTCCCAAAAACGTGTTAAGCACAGTAAAGATAAAGTCCATCAAGAGCAGCCGATAAAGTTCTTGGCCCACAAAACTCTCCCAACACTGTAGACAACAAACACAAATCAAAAGAATCTGCAAATAGGGGATTTAAGGTGGACTTTATTGTGATGAGTAACTCCTAATGGCTGCTCTGAAGTAGGTCTGTAAAGTCAAAGTCTGACATTTAGTCACTTAGTTGTTCTGTAACACCACTCTTTTAGGAATGAAGAGCTCTGCGTAACTCAGTGTTGTGTTACAAATATAATTATGAGGTAAGTAGGAGGATGTTCGTAACCTGTAAACCAAGCCTTTCTGGTTCCACAGCAATTCTCCCCAGCCAGCGGTAACACAGCACTCCAACAATACTGACCTTCAACAACAGGTTCCTGAGAAATCAATGTTAAAACCCTCAGTTTTACATTTGACAAAAAAAAAAAAACAGCCAGTCAGCCAGCCAATCGTCCCCACCAACTCTATTTTCCATTTGCTACATTGCATCATTTAGTTGCTGATGTCCCCACATGATCAAACAAAATGTAAATGAAATCAGTATCAAAGAAGTATAGAAATAAAAGAGCTTTCTCTTTTCTCTCTCCAATTCTAAGTCATATTGCCCTTTGCTTTATTGGGTTTGGCTTTGATTTATATTATTCTTCATGGATGATCTGAACATTAATGTCCAGTGATTGATTGTGGAAGTTTTTTTGTTTCCATAGTTCTCACCTGAAGATGGAGACATAGACACGAGTGCCAGGTGACTCATGCCTCTCTATCCAAGCACACAAGTTGAAGAGGCCAGGGAGTAATAGGTTAATTCCTGACACCACTGCAGACAAGAACAACAGCCCAGCTTGTGTGAAAAGATGGTGGACGATGGTGACCTGCGAGAGAATGGACAGAATCACAGTGAGGGCTGCAGAGCAACAAGTCATGGCCAGATGAAAAACATGGAGAGAAACTAAATTTCTACTTTTGTCAGCAATTTAACTTCATTCACTGCTGTGCAGTAAATGCTGGACTACAACATCACAGATGCTCAACCATGATGGTTTTTGCCGTTTCGCACCCACAGCTGTACTGTAAAACAACAGGAAACAAAAAAATGTATAAAGTGTCTGGCAGGAAAGAAAAAAGGAGAAGTAAACAAACTGCGGTGGGTGCAGGACTTTTTTTCATCATCTATTTCTGTAGTAGAGAAATTTTTAGATCGACTCAATGTGAAGCATGTGCTCTATCATGTGGTTCCACAGCAGTTGTTGCTTGACAGCTGCTTGAGTTTTGTCTAACCTCTGACAGGTAGTAGACTCCGAAGGTGCTCAGGGAAATGCTGACCAGACATGTGACCCACGCTGTCATGTGGACTGCAAGGCGGCAGAGTCGCTGAATGCAGCTTTTTCTGTCTTCTCTGTTGCCCATCTCAGACAGCTGCTCCTGTTGGTGGAAAAGCAGCCTTTGTGATGTTAAGCCACTCATTTGAAAATCGGATCGTCAGTGGCTGCTTGGTGACAACTGTGATCATGCACTGAATGTTTTAAAACCGATATACAAACCCTTCCCACATCAGAAAATGGTGTGAAAATGCAAGATTAAAAGCTTCTTGTCTGTAAATTCGATATGCAAAAACTAGCGGGACTGAGCATATATTGTTGGCCTTAATCACTCAGATATCTGTTGTTGAAAAAAAAAAGATTATTCCCTGGTTTAGAAAAAAAATAGGGGAGGGGGAACCTTTTGGGAAACTATGACTCACTAGTTGTTTTCTTTTTTTTCAAATATTTTAAAACTATTTTTTGTATTTACATAAAAATGAGCGTCACACCTCAGTGAATCTGTCTGAATATTCAAATGATTGCATACTTTGAGCTGAGTGCTGATTTTTTCAGATTGAAGTCTCACAGATGTCGGCTTGCTGACTTTAAAGTCCCAGGAACAGAAAACTTTTGCTGCCAGATTGCTGTTAGACTTGAGGACACGAAAACTTCTCCCAAAGGACTTGGACATGCTGCAGGACAACAGTTAGCCATAAAACACACCGCACAGATTAAAAAATAAAACATAATAAAGACAGAAGTAATTCATTTAATTTCCCAACCTGTAAACCAGAATGATGCAGATGATGAAGAAGGCTATAGCGATGGTAAAGAAATAGGCTGCAGGTATGCTGTACAGCACCATCTGAGGCACATCAGTGTTACAGACTGGCTGATCACCAGTGGAGCTGGGTTTCGAGTCAGGAGCTTGACAAGTTTTGATGATGGTGTTGGAGTAGTAGCCATAAAACATCAAGCTCTGAGAAAGGTAACCCTGCAGAGGAGAAGAGAGACCTGGTTCAAAAGAACACCAGAGAAATAAACATGTGAATACTGCCGGGATGTAAAGCATACAGCTCCTCTCACCATGCCTGTGAGAAGTTCAAGGCCAGTGAAAGTGTCGTTATAAGAGTCATAAGGCGGAGGAGGAGGGTGGATGGCTTGAGGGAAGATCACGAACAGGCCGGTGATGACAAAGAGGAGGAGGTTAAAGAACAGGAGGGTTCTGAGAAAAAGGAAGTAAGAGAGCACTCCGGTTCCGTAACGGCCGCTCAGTCGCTTCATGGGTGAATGCCACAGCTGGAGGGAGCTGAGGACAGGGAGGCAGCTGAACAGGCAGTGGCGCCAAGTCTGAGGGGAGAAAAACCAGAACATCCATCCATCATCTATACACTGTTTAATCCTCACTAGAGTCGTGGGGGGGCTGGAGCCTATCCCAGCTGACACAGGGCCACACTTAGAGACAGACAACCAAGCACACTCACGTTCACACCTATGGACAGTTTAGAATCACCAGTTAACCTCAACATGTTTTTGGACTGTGGGAGGAAGCTGGAGAACCCGTAGAGAACCCACGCTGCTCATGAAGAACATGCAAACTCCACACGAACCAGGGATCTTCTAGCTAACCACAGAGTCACCTTGCAGCCCAAAACCAGAACATGCTACACAAAAGACGACAAAAAAAAAACATGGTTTATACCTTATCATGTCACACTCTGCTTTACTCACCCTCGAAATGTAGACGCTTAGACGGCGGTAGCATGGAATATTTCTGCTGATGAGTGAACTTTCAGCCTCAGCATTGAAAGCAAGGTGCCTAATCAAAGGTGGTGAAAGCACATTCAAAAAGGTGAGCAGCCGCTTGGAGTTACTGATCATGGTTGCCATTTTTTAATGTTTATTTCATGTTTTTGGTATTGCATGTACCTGATTTCCATTTTATCTGCCAGGCTAAGCGTCATGGCTCGCAGTTTGCGCATGCCGTCTCTCACTGAGAAGCCTTGGAGGTTGGCCACCAGCTGCTCCTTATAGTCTGAACCAACCAAATTATCTGCTGCGTCTGTGGAAGTTGTTGATACAGAAAAAGAGGAGCTTTCATTGTAGTGAAAGGTTTAAAGGAAGAATAGAAACACACATTCTGTTCACCTTCACTATTGATTTCCTCCACATCTGCCTGGACAAATTCTTCCTGAATTGGACTTGAGCTGCAAGGATGTGATGATGTCTGGGGCCTGTGTAGCTGAGATGAGCGTCTGTCTTGCCGGGAAATGGCTGCAGCGCTATTTAGCCCTGTGCAGACGAGGACATTCGTTTAAAACAAAGTTAATAGTTTCAATTTGTAAGTGTACACCGTCGAACAATTAGATGAGAAAGACTCAGTCTCACCAGCAGTGCGACTTGGCATTGAGGAGAGCACTTTTAGTGTAGCGGCTGACCAGTGGTGTCTCTGGAGAGAGCTGATCTGCTCCCTGTCAACTGTCTCATCTCTCATGCGGCGTCTCCTGAATGGCTGGCTGTCTGAGAGGAGCATCATTTTGGAAAGTTAGAAAACACTAACTATGATAATACTCCAATAAGCCACACCATTAAAACAACCTGTCTAATATTGTGTAGGTCTGCCTTGTGCTGCCATAACACCTCTGGCCCATTGCCTGGACTCCACAAGACTCTGAAGGTGTCCCGTGGTATCATGCACCAAGATGTTATCAGATCATTTCATTCATAGAAGTTGCAAGATGGGGCCACCATGGATCAGACTTGCTCAAATCTTAAATCAGATTGAGACTTGGGGGAATTTAAGGCCAAGACAACACCTTGAACTTTTTGTCATGTTCCTTCAACCATTTCTGAGCGGTTTTTGAAGTGTGGTCGGGCACATTGTCCTGCTGAAAGAATCTACTGCCTTTAAGGAATATCATTGCCATGATGGAGTGCATATGGTCTGCAACAATATTTAAATAGATGGAGCTTGTCAAAGTAACAACCACATGAATGCCAGGCTCAAGATTTAACTGCAGCACACTACCCCCTGCCTGCTTGAGCATCTGTCTTCCTCGCCTTCTTCCTCAGGTGGTCGTGGGCCAGCCTCCGCTTGACATGCAAAATATCAAGCTGTGAGTATCCACAACCCAGTTCCTACAAGACCTGATGTGTTGGAAATGCTCTGACCCAGTCATCTAGTTATCACAACTTGGCCTTTGTCAAAGTCAGTCAGTAATTTCCCAGGCCTGGGATAAATAAAGTATTTTTCTATTCTATTCTAAAGTCAGTCAGATCCTGTACTTTTAACACAGAAACTTCAAGAACTGATTTTTCACTTCCTGCTTAACCCTCATGTTGTTTCTGGTCAAATTTGACCAATTGAAAGTTCTATCTCTGAAAAGTTTAGTTAATTTGATCAGACCAAGAATTTTTGACTTTGTCCACAAAGAAGATTTTAACACACAAAATAAATTATATTAATTTGCATGCAATTTTTGGTGTTTTATTCAACTTTTGTACACTCTTGGTGTTACCAGTCATTAGAAATGAATGGGGGAGACTACAATTAGTGTAAAAAACTGAGCTCAGCTACATCTTCATTTGTCAAATGGACACACACATAAACACACACACACACACACACACACACACACAATACAATATACAATAACTTTTCTCATAGCTCTGGGATGTAAGAGCTCTTTGAGGCCTTGATTACAGTTCACTGTGTGGCAATACCATGGCAGGTTGATATACTATAAGTGGGGCTCTTGATCATATATTTGATCACCAGACTGGTGAGGAGGAGAGAGGCCAGGAAACTGACAGTGAGGATGGATTAGAGGAGGAATTGTCAGGAGCTGAAGATCATACAGAATATAATCCAGACCATGGTGTGGATGGAGGTGAATGTAGGATGGAAGCATGGGAAATTTTTTAAGAGGAGGCTATTCGTGAAGGAGTTGGGGAGAGCCATGCTGGCAGCCCACATTCAACCACGCTAACAACTTCCCCAAACACCAGTCTCTGCAGAACTGGTGAGAGAGATACAAGGCAAAGAAGCAAGATCACTTGCTGTAAAAAAAGAGGTGACAAAAGGAAGAGGCGTAGTCTGTGTGAGCCAAGAGATGTGAAAACAAGCATAATGTACCATAAATGCGATGCATATATCTGCAAGGCACATGTAACAACCTGCACATATTGTTCAACATGTGCATGAGAAGAAACACCACTGATGTTTGAGTTAACCCAGTCAACCGAGTTTAGAAGCCTGACTTTGTGATAAGATTTCAGTTTTTTGTTTTTT